AACCTTAAACCCCAAACTCCAAACCCCTAAACCCCAAACTCCAAACCCTAAACCCTAAACCCTAAACCCCAAACCCCAAACCCTAAACCCTAAGCCCTAAACCCTTCGTGTGCCATGCGGGGCTCTGGGCTTCAGCATGTTCGAGGTTCAGGGCTCGGCTTCTGGGAGAGTTTGGAGAGTACGATGCAGAAGACTAGTACGAAAGCTTATGCTACAACACACGATACTACTAAGGTGCTATAACAAATACTATTACTATAAAGTGCTATAGTATACTATAGCATACTGTACTATATACTATAAAGTATAATATACTATAACATGCCGCAACATGCCACAATGAACAGCTATACGTGGTTCTGAAGGCACGTGAGGCCCTGGCCCGAACGGTCGAGGGGAAAACAAAAAGAACACATACCCCATACCTACAGTCTCCATTGTAGTTCAGGTTATTGGGGCTACCTTGTGGGGATCTTAGACAAGTAGTTGGAAACCCCAAAAAGGAAGGAGACTAATTATTTATAGGTCGTGTGCGACGGAAAGACCCTGTGAGTTTGGCTTTGGATTGGATTCACTGTCCCGCAGTACACTCAGAGGCGCACAACAGGCGCACAACTCCACCACGGCCCACACCCAGTCTTCTGGCGAAGCCTACAGCCCAGGTGGCACTGAAAACCTGAGGCATCGGAAATGCCCCCAGCCCATCCGACGACAGTCTTCACATCTAGCCGATGCGCTTCTGATTAGCGGCGCACAGATGGCAAGTCCGTAGGTACCCGTTCTGGCAGCTGTCCTGCAGGCAGTACGATAGCACTGAACCCGCCACTGTACCGAACCGGCCACCACGAATTACAAGGAGGTACAGTGTACCCGGAAGGATGACAGCACGCAACCAAACATACATACATAAATTAATATACACAAACACCTCTTATAGAACCAGACTCCTTCCGAACCTCTAGGTTGCCGTCCGACCGTCGCAGTGCCGCGGCCGCAGTGCCAGCTTCGTACCCTTAGGAATGCAGGGCTTAGGATTTAGGGTTTGGGGCTTAAGGGTCTAGGATTTGGGTTTAGGGTTTAGGATTTAGGGTTGAGTTGAGCAGGAGTTCTCGTGCATCAGTAGGCTTGCGCAAGGACACCGATCAGACCGTGGGTGTTTGTGTATCCACCAGATGCTTCAAGATGCTGCTCTGTGCGCTCGGCTCCAGCCAGCACTGCACGTGCTTGTCTGCATACACGACCCGTAATGCAATATATGGGCCTTCATGATTCCCTGGCCTTAGCGGTTCTAGGATAGTAGGTATGTCATGAGGTTGGACAGTATATTATAACAAGGTACTTGGACCGCGCGGAAGTTTGAACAGGGTTTTGGGCCATTTCGGTGTGTACTTTGCTGTAACTTCTCAGAGGGTCTACAAGGGTACCTTATTGCTCATGATTCGGACTCCCATGTTAGCTTGTGATATACAGGAGCAGCACACACACAAGGAAGCTTTGGCTGCCCTAGCGCACCCGAAGTAAAGCTCGCACAGGGTCACAGGGTTCTGGGTACTGTTGCGGGTGATACTTCCCCAAATCGTAATAGTAATTCCTGATATAAAAACCCTACATCCTACTAGAAAGGTAATTACTTAGGACCCTTTCAGAACTGAACCTAGGCCGAGATGCCCATTTCCAGCAACGTTCCCAGTGGTGTCGAGGGCGGTGGGGCGGCAACCGTGGCCTCAACCAGGACCTACTACCCTTAGATAGGGGCATGTGGCCGGAAATCTTAGGTGTTCGGGATCTCTAATAAAGGGTGGAGAGAGGGTCTAGGAGGATGTCTGCAGGAGTTGAGCAAACACCTGTGACCGGGCGATTAGGAAACACCGAGGGGCTTGGTTGGGGAAGCTTCATGCTGTACGTCGTTCTAAAGTTTGGGGCTTGATTCTGAATGTGCAGAAATCGCTGCAGCACTGCCAGGGCATACCTTTCCGCCCGACTTCACTACACATGGCATGCCTCAGTCCCTGCATCCCTGCTGTCGGAAAACGGAACACCCGAATGCTGGCCCGCCCCGCCCTCAATATCGTCGAAGTTCAAGGGCCAGTGAGTAATCACATTTAAGAAACTAATAATGTTGATAATAACAGTACTGTCAACAATCATAAAATCCCATCCCAACTTCCGTAATTGATAGTGGTGACTACGGTCTTGCGCTTCGCCGGCAACTGTGGCACTTGGCACCACCCTGAAACCCCAAATTGCAACAAAGTAAGTACAGGGGCCTTAATACTTGGAATAGGATTTTGGGGTATAGCATATCTGTAACCATAATAAGGAGCTCCCAAAATAGTATTGGTAATTATTTAGCGGAGTTTAGGGCCGTATAATAATGCAGCTGCTTGACTTGTGCAGGTTGAGCTTCAGCTGCACTGAGCAACACAGCGGCAGCCAGTTCAACATCGCCTTCCAGAGGTCGCTGTAGCTTGGGACTTCGGCTTCAGGGCCGAGGTAACACTGCTGCTACGGTTGATGATATCCTGCATGACCCATACTCAGGAATATGCCATAATTCCCATAGTTTAGGGTCCTTAAGGTACTGCAGGATTTATATCATCAACAGTAGTGGTCTTCTTGGTGCTGTCATTGTTGCTGGAAAATTGTGTTATCGGTGGGTCGAAACTGGACCTGGGATCCCTCCCATGTTGCCAGGCCCCCGAAAGTTAAAACAAGAGTCTTGGGCGAACGGGGAACTGAAACCTTGTCGAACTGCTGTCCACCCCTTTCTAGGGTTGAGGGCTTAACAGGGAACTGAAACCTTGAAGAACTGCTGTCTACCCCTTTGAACGAACTGACTGAAAAGTGACCTCCGCTCTCGCGCAGAGCTGCGGCGGATGCATTGACGTCCACATTGCAGGCCTCTTCAACACAGAGACAACCCTAAACCCTAAACCTTAATTGACGGTTTGGAAGTAAGGGGTCCAAGCTTGAAGAGATCAAACCGCAAACAAACAATGACTGAATTGAATCTGAAACCCGGAAGTCAAGGCCGAGCCTGAAACACCTGCCTTCATGAACCTAACCTAGATTCCCCATACAGTCTTAGATTCTGAGTTCTTGTCTGACCTCGATCTAGACCTACAGTTGCCCAGCTTTCTTTGAGAGACTTCGGTCGCAAGAGGAAAAAGAAGAGGGGTGATTGCGGAGATTTTCAGGATTTACCAGGCCTCCTTTGAAGTCTCTACAGGTTCTGTACCGGGCCAAAGACCTGATGTGATGGGGTCGTCGGGTTCCACTACAACGGAGTCGCACGCTGTGCCCTTTTGGTATAGGGGGATCTATGAAGTCATTGTGGACTCTGCGCGACATTCAGTCGTGGATTCGCCTACCACACGCATATAGCAACAAATGCTCGGAAACGGTTCCAAGGAAAGGGACCGATAAGCCGAAATTCTCCGCGATTCATCTCACTCAAACTGCGTGTATACAGCTTCAACTAACTATACGTGCACACAAGACTTTGGTACAAGGACCGTCCGTGGCATGCAGGGGCGTCCAGTTGAATAGCAAACTACACATGGTAAGACAGCGGAACAGTACAAGAGGCATTTTCAGACAATAACATTATGAGGTGACCAATTCCAACCCAACATCGGGATAGTAGCTCAAGTTCAAGTACGACTCATGCACATCATGTTTGTCGAAATAAGTTGTTTCGCACGAGCTGGTCTTATGGCTTTATGAACGCAGATGCAGGCTTCTGTGATATGTAATTTACAGGATGATATGGGCTAAGCCTCGACAGACAAACAGCCGCAAGCACAAACACATGCACTATCGCGCGCTGTTCCCATGCGTTCCCCGAGTCCTCTCACGTCCTGATGCTTCAAGCCGTCATCCCAACCCTCTGCTTGTGCCCGCTTCGCCCCTTGGGCCTCAGCCAAATACCTCGCTTTTGCAGCATCAGCCATGGCACAGGAAGCTACTGAAGTGTGGCAGGGCTGCTGTCGGCCAGTTGTGAAGAAGAAACGGTTTAGCAGTTTAGCGTGTTACAGGTCCTCCTTAAGTCGTGGATGTACATAGAAGAAAAACAACTCCATTCCATGCCTGAAAATTCAACCAGCAGCTTTAGGCCATCCCGTGTTGTCGTCGGTTGTTACATGCTTGAAAATGCAGAAAAAAAGACATAGATGGGTAGTTGTCTCTCGTAGGGCCCATTTTGGGGTCCTTTTTCTTTTAGGGGTGCCGTACTGTTTTGGGGGGCCTAAACAAGGACCCTAATTTAGAGGACTACCCAAATATGACAATTATGATAATCTGCACTCATGTGCCTGCATACACGTGTACACTTGCATGTACCAGTCGCGCCAATAACGACGATGTTGTCCTTTGCATGTGCAGCTCATGTAAGCCCTGGCTCATGTTCGACAAAAATTGAATTTTGCAAAAGGCCAGGCATACGCAAGTTACGTTATGACAGACTTGCTGTGGATGTCAAGAGGGGTCAGCTGCCGGGCCAAACATGGCGATGCAGGAAGTCAAAGCCCGGGAAGTGGCGTGGATTCGGAACCTCGGCTTAAGAAAGGCTTTGTGACTCCGTCTAGAGCATCGTAGGCCTCAGAATTTAAGGTGATCCAGCTATAGGCTGCATGATGAGACAAAACTACTAATTATGCCTTCTCTCCGTGAAGAGCTGCATGGTTAATCGTGAAGGTATGTGATGCAAATTGAATGTGGTTTGCACACCGCTGTTTCTGATAGTCTGAGACTAATTCAACTCCTAACATATCTTTGGCACGAGCTCTTCCCAAAATCAGTTGGAACCGATGTTTGTGAAGAAGCGTCACCGAGGATTTGGAGGTGCGCAGACAGGGCATTGCAAAGTCACAATTTCGGCTCGAGGTGAGTGTGCCATACTCCCCAGTTAATTCGTTATAAGTTATAAGATGTTGCAACATACATGTTGCCCCTCAACCCCATACCCTAAACCGTATATGCTACACTTCACTCATGTCTCTGCTCGGGATCTTGTCTGTCAATATCTTACGGGTAGTTCTGTAAATTAGGATCCCTTTTGGGGTCCTTGTTTTAATGAGGGTGCCGTACTATTTTGGGGACAAAGGGACCCTGCTTTAGAGATCTACCCACGTGGTGAGTTCGACCATACTGCCGTCAATGGAGATGTAATGCAATGATGACTATGGCAAGCAGCAAAATAGTGTAATAACCTTGAGATGACGATAATGATGATGCTGCTGATGATGATGGCTGTGATGGTGACGACCTTGACGTGACAATGGAGGGCATGACCATGAAAGTGAGCCCTGCCGCTGGTGATGAACACAGTGATGCTAAAGATGATGCGGACGGGAGCAGAAAGCATGATGACACTCACAAATCAACAATAACGAGGAAGTTGATGAAGACCCTAAACCCCTAAACTCTAAACACGTAGATCAAGTTGATGATGGGTGGAGATGAGGAGATGTGCCTGGCCAGATATTCCTCGGAACGTCCTTGGTAAACGAGATCGGCTAAGTGAAGTTCACTGACAATGAGGGTTTAGTGATTAGAGTTTACTTGGCCAACATGAGAATACTTAGTACAAGAAGGGAAGAGATCGCGGAGAACTAAGCTGGTGAGCTCGATCTGCTAGCCTTCGCTGTTGCTGCTCCAACGATATACTCTGGCATCGCTGTGAGGGAGAAACAAAGGTAACAGCCAACCGGGACCACTGAAACCACGCAGCGCAGCAAGACCTAAAGGAATCCCCGCTCAATCCATGCATGGAAGACTGAGCACGAACAGCAGCGTCGCGAAGTCGACAGAGTCTGCTGGAAGGGCTTCCTGGCTTAGGGTAACATATGTATGGAAGCATCGATGGCCATCTGAGCAGAACTGCTGTCCAGCAGATCTGCAGTGTGGCTTCAAAGGCCAGGTTTGCTTCAACTGCCACGAAGATTTGGGTCTTGACTGGGGAAAGCTTGGGGCTCCGCATCTAGAGCTTGTCAATCAGGCGAGGTGGCTGCAAGAATTTCGGAAGCATAGCAGGAAGCTTCGTCAGAAACTAAACTGAGGGTCCCTCCTTCTAGCTTGCTGCTTCAAGATTTATGAAATCAGCTGTGTCGAACACCCTGGTTCCCAAGCATCTTCCCCCACTTGTGCTTTGCATGCACGAGCATGGGAGGTTTGGCTTGGGTGTAAGGATACGGTTCCTAGATCCCCAAAACCCCCAAAGGGTCTTATGTACTGTTCTGGGAGATACTTCCCTAAATCATAATAGTAATTCCTAACATATAAACCTTGCATAACATGGCATTCTACTGTATGGGTACATGAGACCTTTCGGGGCCCTAATTAAACCCGACATGTAAAGCCCAGAGTGTACGCGAGGGAGCCTCCGTACAGAATCAAGGTTTGGGCCTTCAATTTGCAGTCGGGGTCCGGTCTACTGTCATGCTCCAACTATGAACGTGAGAAACATGTCTAACTAGGGCAACTCTTCCACACACTAAGGCACATGACAACTCTGCAATAGACCGCAGCAAGTCAAAACAAGGGCCACCACAACAACCGCTCTTGTCTTTCACTAAGATACTGATTGTGCAGCTGTGCGAAATTCAACATCAAGTCGAAATTTGGGTTCATCAAGGGGGATTGGCAAACATTCGTGCAAAGGGACAAGGGAAGCAAGGAGCAGGAGCTGCAAACACACAAGCCCACAGAAGCATGCACACCCATCTATCTATCTATCTATCTAACTAACTATCTATCTGTTTATTTATCTATCTATCCTTCTTTCTTTCTTTCTAGCTAGCTAGCTAGCTTTCTATCTAGCTTTCTATCTATCTATCTATCTATCTATCTATCTACTGTATATATATATATACACAGAAAAATATACGTATATATGTATGTATATATGTATGTGTATATAAATATAAACAAAAATAGACAATATATATATATACGTGTAAACAAACATGTATAAACAAACCTGTGTAAAAAAATACACGTGCAGGTGTTTATATACATATATACATACCCGAAAACATATTATATTTATATGTGGTAAGAGAAGAAATGTTCCTTCTTCATACACATCTGCACATCCATGTACGTATGTGTGTATGTATGCATGCATGCATGCATGCATGCATGCATGCATGCATGCATGTATGTATATATGCGTGTATGTGTGTATGTATGTGTATGTATGCGTATGTCTGCGTATGTGTATGTATGTATGCATGCATGTATACATAGACATGGAACTAACAGCCTCCGGAAATCCTTGAAACAAAACAACTCTGTAAACAACTGACCACCTAACCTAACACCCCGCATGGAACCATGCGAAGCCAGACTCGAATTTCAATGCAGTCCAAAAACTCTACGTCTTATGGCAGACAGTCTTGACATCTTAGGAACTTTAAATACAGCACCACGAACCCTAACAGGCCTCTAGGCTTCTGTGGCAAGCAGTTGGCTGCTGCCCGGAGCCTTTCGTGATGTCCTGGCTTTGCAGCTTACGAGTGGGGTTGCTTCTGGCCGATGAAAGGCTGACTGAGAGTGGTAGTACTTGCAGTAGCAGTATGTAGTAGTAGTCGGAGTAGTGGTGGTACTACCAATGACAGTAGCAGTAGCAGCAGCAGCAGCAACAGGAGCAGGAGCAGGAGCAGGAGCGGGAGAGGAGTGGGAGCATAGCCGTAGCAGCAGCAGTAGTAGCAGTGCTAGTAGCAGTACTAGAAGTAGTACTGTAGCACTAGCAGTAGCACTGGCAGCAGCAGCAGCAGCAGCATTACAGTAGCAGTAGCAGAAGCAGTAGCAGTGGTCGT